CTGCGAGGTCCGGTGGTAACCTGGAACGGCAACGGGAGACCCTGGGGAGCGAAGAACGATCCAGTAAGGCTGAAAGAGGTTCCTGGAACAAAAAGAACAAGTTAGAAGGGCGCCGGAGTGTTTTCCGGCGTATCCCCTCCGACGATCTAGTCAGTCTTTGAGAAAGAGAGAGGAAGGAGAAAACACTGAGTGTGTATTGTAGTAAAGAGTTTTTTGTTGCATACCCGTCTTGCCTTTTGCAAGGAGTATTTATACCTCAAAAGCTCATGATTGCTGTCAGTGTAGTCAGTAGGTGATCATTAGGTACAGGCAGTGTGCGCACTGATTCTGATGAGGAATGTCTTCTCTTCTTAACTGCTCGGGGTCCCGAGCAATCAATGCTGGGTCATCGGGATGCCGACGGTACAATGTACTCCTCTTGGGGAGGATGCAATAAATGCTGTGTATTAGGAGCATTTATTGTCTTTCATTTTCGAGCCTTACCGCATTGAATGCGGTCTTATCAAGGGAATGGTGTAATTAATCGTTTGCTTTCCCAAGCCGCGTGTCAGCAACGGCATGCGGTTTCTCTGTCTTCGATGTGATATCATATGCCACGCGTCCATCCCCCATTGGCTGTGGACTCTGCATTCCAGTACGTTCTGACACTAATTGTGTAAGACGAGGTCATGATGAATAGCCTAGGCTAATGACCTGTACGTCAATAGCTTATCCTGGAGTAGAGGAGGCGTCCAGGACGGGGTACACCTCGACACCGAGGAAAGGCTCATCCCGGAACCGAGGGGGGATACCGACCGAGGTACCATATCAGACCGAGGCTACGTGTCGGTTGTAAAACGTACTGAATGTCATGATCCTATATGACGAGTACCTCGGGGGCGAGGACCTTAGCAACAGTGTTTTGGTAATACCGAGGACACGTGTCTTCATTATGGAGCATTTCAGAAAAGTCCCATCAATAAAGTTACAAATTTAAAAAAAAAAATTTATAACTGTTAAAGGGATGTCATGATCGATCACAAAAACCCATAATCAATCATAAAAAATGTTGTATTAATCATAATATTCTATAATCGATCATGCTCAACGGAGTTATAACTTACATATTAAAAAAATTATAACTTTCGGTCTTGGTGTCGTGGACGACAGTGTAGAAGTTCCCGAAAATATATCGAGATATTTCCGTTTGAAGAACATGAATTTACCTTTACCTTTGAATTCATGTGAGTTACCGCCAGATCAGTTTGCAGGACAGAAACAGTCCAACCCTATTTCTTATAAATGTGAGGACATTTGGCTTTTGGATATGTCAGGTTATCCCGTAACCCTATTGCGAGGGTGAGCTGGTAACCTACTGTCAGAACCTTAGAAACACTTGTTATTACTATAGTTATTATTTTCATTGTTTTGTACTTGCATAAGGAATGGACAGTGATGTTTGAACTCACGATATAACTATTTAACAGTGAAGTACGATGGTCATTAGACTAAATTACTGATCCTTTATGAACTCTTATTAACTCACTCAGCTTTTTATCATTGTATGTGCTTCCTTCTACCAAGTCTCTTGGGTCTTCGTGTGAGCCAAACACCTTCCTCCTCTCCCATTTCCACACTTCGACGTTAGTAATGAAAATGCATTGCCAAAATATAATTGGAGTATTAAGCGAGTCATGTTGTGTTTTTATTTTTAGTTGTGTATTATACTCGAGTTGAGTAATTTTGCTTCATATAACTATTAGTATTTATTATAAATTATTCAAGCGTAAACACAATTCATGTAGTGTAACATCAAGATGTGTGAGTTTGAATAAACTATTTATTGATATTCATATAATTTGAGCAAGTAAATGAAGTGATTAGATTTTTATTACAAATTACAACTTGCAACTATGAAAGATCATCGATGTTTAACACTAACTTGATTGACTTATAATATGAGTTAATCAGTTATGTTATTTAAATATATATTGTGTTGGGTTGTTATCAAAGTTCATGGTGAATGGGTGAAATTGACTCTCGTAATCTACACTGATGAATTTTAGAGGGTGGTATTGTGGTTTCAGTAATGCTAGATTGACCAAATTTTAGGACCAAATTTGAAATCCAAATGACAGTTGACTTAAGTTTTTTTGATTACTGTGATGTCATTTGGACTCCAAATTTAATCTCAAAATTTGATCAGTCTAGCATTATTCTTGTGTTTTTGCTAAAGCATTTTGCCATCAAATTGATTCCTAGATGCATCATTGTAAAGAGACATTTTGCCTCTTGTGATGGTATTTTTGAAAAAGAGACGAGAGAAAAGAGTTAGAAATTTTGAAAAGGAAGGCTAACAAATGAGATGACTAGGAGAATAAAGAGATGAAAAACTACATATATAAACAAGGAAGGACTAAGAAATAGGCCTAAATCAACCATAGGTTGTTGGCATAGAAAGAGACGATCAATTGATTACCTAGCATCCAACCAAAAAAAAAAAATACTAGATTATTGTCATTAAAAGACTTGAGAATGGTTAGATGTACACAATCTCGAACTAATAATGGACGAACTCTTTGAGCAAGATTATATAGTTATGAGTTCAAATATTGCACCATCTAACTAGGTCATTGCAATTTATTCCGAGGGTGTGTTCACTATCAAGCGCCGAGAGCCAATCAAACTTAAACATTGTAGGATATACCCATTTGAACCATAAACCAAACCACCCATATAATCACCACCAAACCATTTTTTTGTCGATCACTATTACAAGAGCGCGAACGACGAAGCTATTAGTCAAACAAAATATCATGCCATACGAAATGACTCAGAATTCACCATCATCAACAGTGAAGAAGATAAGCTAATGGAGCCTACCTGTTGTACGTTTACTTATATAATACTCATAAATAGACATTATTAGCTTTTAAAATATATTTTTAACTTTGGAAAACACAACCTAAACCACGTCATTACTCTGTTTTATAATATAAGCTACAAAACAACCATTCCACACCCATAGCATACATAGAAAAACTTGTCTTCTTCTTCTTCTTCTTCTTCAACAGTGGATCCATGGCTGTAAGATGTTCCCCTTCACCTGCTTTCATAATTCAGAAACCTAGCTCAGTCAAAAAGCCTGTTAGTAGAGTATTAATGCTTGCACAGGCTCATGTATCAGTCAAGAGTACAACTATACTTCAGATCACATCATCTTTCAAGAACAAGGTTTTGTCTCATACTTGCGAAACATTGACTTTCTAGCTTCTATTCAGTTTCATTTGTATTCCGTCAATCTAACCCATTTCAAAAAAAATTGATTTTCAAACTAGAACTCGATTGCTTTTGTTGATAGTCATAAGCTATCAGATCTCTACTAGTTCAACGAATAATAATACATCAATAAATAATCACACTTTCTAATTGATACCCACAATTATTTTCTGGTAGGTTTACGAAGATCAATCCGAGGGTATCATTTGTTATAAAGATGATAGTGGGGAGATAGTATGTGAGGGATACGACGAGGGCCCTCACCTTCGTCAACAATTCTCTATCTTGGCTTATAATACAAGGTAAGTAATTATCCTAGCATATAGCATACAAAATTGTTGTCCAACTAGCACCTCAACAAGTGATTTTGTACGTGATTTTACGTGTTTCAGAGATTCTGATATTAGTGACCTTCAAAGGTGTTGGCTTCAAATCGTCGATAGTAATAAACTTAACCACGCGGATGAAGATGTCGTTGGGCAAAAAAATCTCAACCCCAAGGAATCCAACTCGTTCTGCTAAGAAATGCTATAACCTTTAGCCAATAATCTTCACTTCTTCACGCCTGTTCTCATTATTCTGTAACAGCAAGACATTTTTTTTTCCTGTCAATGGTTTTCTGTAAATGATAAGCATAGAAAGAGTACTTTCATGTGGCCTTGTAATTACATTCTGAGTTCCAGTTCTATCCTGCTGCTCCTGCAGAACAACTACTTCCAACTAGAACGATTTAATGAACCTATTCCCAATCTTAACACACAAACTTACATTGAAAACTACTACTACTAAGTGGATTGGACAGCCTTTTTTAGACTTCGATTGAGAGTGAGGTGAACTTAGGGAGAGATTGAGCTTCACGAAATAGTGAACGGTCTTCTCAATACACAAATGTATAACTACACAAGAATTTCAATTGCTCTCATATGTGTTACTGTAGGAACTGGGTTCAAGCTTTCCCCAATCCCTTCTCATCAATGGACTCCTGATGTGTATATATATAATTTGGTAAGTAAATGCATTCATTCATATTTCCCAAAGTGTACAAGTATAATTGAACTTTGTTAAACATTCCTAATCCTGCACCTCGACAACAAAAGCACCCTGTCAATTCTGTATCAGGCAAACACAGCTCCCCCCCCAACCCCTTCTTTCCCCCTCTCCCGTCATAACAAAGATCCTTAGGTCACTTGAGAGCTTTCATAGCCATGGGAATTGATCCATTCGAATAAGAAATATCATAGCATATAATAAGATGACAAAAAATGATGCCAACAGATGCAAACAGGGTGACTTACTCACTAGAAGAAGAGGAACCCATATTCAGACTATGTGAAACAAAAATAAACCCAATCCTAGAGCTAGAAAAATAACAGAGAAGCGATATCTCAGTCTTGCCACTTGAAGGAAAACCAATACGACATTGTACGCCAAAAATGAAAAAATGGAATCAGACAACAGAGAGTTTGGTATATATTACAAACAGTCGGTTAATATGGAGATTACTTGATGGTATGAGTGCAGCTAATGAATTCATTGAACATAAAGATCTATCTATTGAGAACTTCTACCACCTGTTTTTCTAAAAGCATAGACTATGAAGCCTTCAACTATTGACTAGGCTTACTATATGCTTAACTACTCCATAATTTCAGTTCATCCATTCCTCCATCAACCTGATCAATACTAAGATATTTAACCATAATAGAAAAGCAAACAAGAGGGAATAACTTTATGTTACATTTTGCTGCTCCAAAATGTCAGATATCAAACCAAAAAATAAATGTAATTGCATTTCTGTAATTCATATACATATTGAAATGCTTAATACAAGAAAAAAAGTTTGTACAAAATCTTCTTGGGGAGATCACCTAATACTTGTACCCCTAAGATATTTTCATGGCTTTAATTGCCTTTTTCTGCATCTTCCGCCAAACAATCATGAATTTCTAATTTCTGCTAGAATACAATGGAAAGCTATCCAAAAATAATTGACAAAAGGAAAGAGGGGGAGGATCGAAGAGGGAAAAAGAAATAAATGTTATATGGTCAATGGAAAACTGACGGGGGATGACTAATTTGCAAATTAAAGTTCCAACATGTACAATCAAACAGATTTACAGTATCACTCGGCCATGGTCCCACCTTGAGTATCCTCTTCACATAAATCAGTCTGAGACTTATATGGAATAATAGTCGGTGGTGACCACTGATCTGGGACCATCAGAAAATAGGTACTCATGGCTTTTCTGAACCTCTTCTTGTATTGCTTGGGTGAGATTACTGTTGGAGACGCATTCTTAGGTCCACCGAGGATGCCAGAAGCCTTCACCCAAGTCTCAAGGTGCTTGTCCCATGTATACTGCCTCATGAAGTCAATAATCCCAAGAACAAGTTCATGCTTCTCTTCATCCACCCCAACAAGTAACGAATAATCCATCACATCAATCGACTGCAAGAACAAATTCAACAATGTATTAAATTGTCGAACACACATTTATGCAAGTTGAACGAATGGGAACAGCCCATGTGTACAAAATACATTCTGGGAATATGTTGTAGAACTATCGACGAAGAAAATCAAGAAATATGGGGTTGAGATAACATGACATGATGCCTCACAGACAAACCGTTCACCACAACTAGCTCATCTATATATTTCAGCAGAATGCAAGTTTTATCTAATATTACAAAGAAATACAGATGCAAAACTTTCATCCAAACTGAGGCAGTTTCAAATAATTTCATTGTTAAGTGACTATGTTTGCACAAAAGCCTAGTGTCTTTGGGGTGGGAGGTGGGGTTTCCACATGGTGAACAGTAAACCTTTTATGTTGCGCATACAAAACATTTTAATGCTGTAGTGACTAGTATGCTGAACAACAACAGAGAAAGTTGTAAAGCTTACAGCAAGAAAAGCGGTATCATTCCAGACAGCTCTTTCCAACAATCGCTTTGCCTTGTTTCCAACAAATATAGGAGAAGTTGGCATTGCTTCAATTAAATTCTGGTCCAGGAGAACCTTATTATTTCCACTAGAATCGGCATTATACCGTGATCTGGAAGATCCTTTGAGATCATAAAGCCTTGTAAGATTTCTTCCAAACAGAAGATTCTCCATGACTAGCACATCCATTTTTGTTTCCTTTCCTCCCTTAAGATGCTTTGATGTGACCTTTAGACATAAAGCCAATGAAAAGATGAAGTTTCAAAAGTGTACCAAGTGGAAAATGAAAACATGAATTTTGACAACATGGATCAGAGCAACAGATACTCCTGATCACACAGCACAACCTGTCAATGCAAACGTAATCCAATTGAATCTATACAGCTACAATTAGCCACCAAAAACACCATATTATGCTGGAAGCTCCACGCTGACAATAGAGAACCATATTGCAATAAAAAACAACCTAATGTAACAAATGTCGTTGACCAAAATTACCATTAAAAATCAGAGTAAATGTCAGATTAAAGAGAAAATGAAGCACAATTCCTCTATATTGAAATCACCATTACCTAACTGCTAAACCTTAAACAGGCAACACAGCATCCATGCTGGTAATGATGCAGTTTACATAGGTACCCAGATACTGATGAAATTCATACTTAAGTTCTCGGAAGTCCGAGGTACGTATTATCATCCATGGCATCCAGTACTAACAAACGAATAAGAATGGGACGATTATATAGTAAGCCTAGAAGTACTTATTCAACATTCACTTGTTTTCAGGGGGACATTCCAAAAGTGAGGGGTGGACATAAAGAATATAAAGAACTTCTTTGTATGCCTATATAGCAACTTTGTCGTCTATATCAACAGGAGACCTTAATTATGCCCTCCTATTTGGATGAACCAGACAAGTATGCACCAATTAAAATGAGATTCAAAGTCAAGTATATCAGCTTTTCAACACGAATGTTTGGGCGTGGCAAAGTGACTGGTCAATTAATTGCTTAGTTCGATTCGCATTTCCAGTCATTTAGAAAATACCTGATAAATCCCAAGAATCTTTGCCAGGCATGTCGGGCTTCCAGTGCTAATTGATTCAGATAGATATTTAAAGTATTCGGGAGCAAACTTTATGAATGATTCCAGCTCTGTCTTTGTAACCTGTTTGATGATAAACCGATCATCTAGGGTTTTCGCAAAGAAGACGTTGCTCTTGCCACCTTGGGCTCCCCACTTCTTACAACGACTAAGAGACCTTATGAAATCCACCTCAGATGGGCAACAAATTCTCCTCAAGGCGTCAAACCGCTTTGCAAAGTAACAAGTCACTGCATATTTTACCTTACCAAGGGGTCCATCATCTGCAAAAGAAACTCTAGCATGCGAAGCCTTCATAATATATGAAACTGGATCCAGAACCAGGGAGGTACGAGACCCAGACATAGATAAGATGCTATCATCTATAGATCCAAGACTTCTGTATGATTCCAATACCATGTCATCATGCGAATAGAAGGACTGGAAGTTCCCCAAATCAAGCAACTGCATTGGGTATGTAGAATCGCTACTGTCGTTTTGCCTTTCAGGCTCATCAGATAGTTGAACAAGATAACCAGGAGAAGCCAGTGCGTAGGATATGATACTTGTGGGCTCATCATCATAGACTGGGACAACCATGTCATTGACACCCACAGGCAGGAGCAACCTAGCCCCTCCTTGGAGTTCCGACTCAAGAAATGATGAAATAAAGACCGGGTTATACTCCCCAAGTGTACCCAATTTCTGCACACTGCCTAAAAGGTTTTTGTTCAATGAGCGATAGAAGTTTATAAAGGGCATTCCCAGCCAGCTCGCAAAGTCTTCCATGTTATCTGAGCTTTTAGTGGGTAACACAGGCGGAAAATGGGATGCCTTGGGCCCATCCTGGTCTCCTTCCATGTCCAACTTTTCTGCCAATACCATGATGGATGAAGAATCTGACACAGCAGGTTCAGGACATACGAAAGTATTTTCCTTCGGTATTCCAATATCTGGGTTATTTTCCCCAGTCCATGCAGCATCAAGGGTGTCTGACAAACTTGTAATGATAGGGGCCTGTCCATCAGAGAGGGTTCTATGAACAACTATATTGGATTCCAAAGGATCAGAATCAACACATACGTTTAGACCAGTAGAAATATTATCTTGGCTTTCTTCTCCATGATTTGAATATGAATCCCTGTAAATTCCATGATGAACTAGTTCAGGCTGGTTACCATGGCTACCGATTCCTCGACCATCATCATGACTTTCCTTGATCTTTGCATCCAAAAGAACAGAGTCACAACCACCCAGATCTTTGCCTGGTTTAACAGGAATATCAATGAGCTTCCCATAAGCAGAGAGGGGTTTCTCTACAAGTTCTGGATTGGACCCACATGGATTTCCAAGAAGGTAGTTACTATTTAACTTGGTTGAGTGAATCAAGCGATGGTCCCACATATAAGATTGAAAGAGTAACTGTCTTCGAAGTCGATTAATCTCAAGAATATCAATAGCAGGTTGGCCCTTTTTCGCCTCCTTGTTCAGAATTTTCTGAAGTGATTCCTGCAACAATACCAAGGTATTCATCACAGCTCACATGTTGAAAGCAGAAATGTTGCATATGTTTAAAACATTGTCGATTTGAAATCAAAATGGATCAGAAATTTTATGGTAAAAATCTCCATGAAATTGAAACTTTCATGGTCCCATTCAGTTGAAACCATCATATTGCTGTCGAAATCCACACGTGGATCGAGCGACTTATTCACAAGTCACAACAAAGTGCTGTTTTATAGTAAACAAACAATATTTTTGTAACTCATGCAAAACAGAAGACTTCTCTTTTTTGGTGCACAATAGAGGACTAATAGGAAACTTTTACCAACGAACATAGCAAACCATTATTGCACCGCATTGGTTTCTTTAGTTTTATTTTTTCGCCTTCTTTTTTTTTTTTGTGTGTGTTTTCTGGGGCGGGGGTTGTAATTGATCCAAGAAGATACTTCTCCCTTCAATTTTAATATTTTCCCCTGCTACAATACAAAAGTTGGGTCTGCCGTCTGCCAACCCCACATATTAGATAATGACTTGTCAGGGTAGTTGGTTGAATACTAATCATGAAGAAGGAACTTGTCGGATACTTGAACACAACAAGGGCAGAAGTATGTTGTTCATCAAATTCAATAGTTAATGATAAGAGTATATTAAGATGAATATGACCAAATTAGTACTAGATTGCGCATAAGGAACAAATTGATTGAACAACCATTCCAAGAGTGCCGCCTTCATCTACATGCATTCCAATTTAAGAATAAATATTTGCAGTAGATACAAATAAAGTACAACATCTAGGACAGAAAATGTGAAATTCAGTGCAGAAAAGATATTAAACGTATTAACTGAAGGCTTCACCTCAAATTCTGCCTTTTCCTTTTGTAGCATCGCTTCCAAAACTGCTATCTGGTGTCTTGATCCGGGTGTGTTAATGCCACTATTCGATGGGAATGTGCCAGATCTTTTCTCCACCATCTGACAGAGAGCATTTTGTACTTCAGAAAATAAAAGCTCTGCCCGGCAAACCACCTGTTTAGTTCAAACAATTAGGTCACACATGCACAGTGAGATTTCAATTGACAGTTAAGAAGCCAAAATTGTGATCCCTGCACCTCATTAAGCTCCTTTTGTATCCACTCCTGACTCTCATACTTAAAATCAAGTTTGGAGGGAGGAAGGTAGACTGAGTGAACATCAATTGAGGCATAATGAAAGCAAGCGACCATTTTCCCAAATCTGCAAAAGTAATAAAAATGAAAACTGAGAGAAAATGAGAAGCCCATATAAAACTCTCATCAAGGTGCCAAAGAATGTACAACAGAAACAAACTTCTTGATTTTACAAACTCCTGCCGAAAGACATAAGCTAGATAGCAAAAAATGAGAAATATAATAGGCATTTCCTAAATCACTAACAAAATCCCTATGACCAACCAAAGATGTAGTGGCCCTATTCACATAATTCACATGGTTTATCAATCCAAAAAGTTTTTTTTTGGATAAACATGGCTTCCAGGTTCGTCAAAGACATCAATAGGAGGGAGAAAAAGTTGTAATGCTCAAGACCAATATAACAGGATATATAAGGTTGGGTGTGAGAGATTACCCATAGAACCGTAGACAGTCTCTATGTAGAGAATGGCACAGCTTGCTACCCTGCTAGCCGCAGCATGGTTTGAAAAACTGAGCTCCAAAAACTTCCCGAAGGACAAGCCCCAAGCTGCATCAGACATAACTACTCGTCGAGTTGCTGGAGGGAAACCGTTAGTCCGTGGACACCTCAAGCACCTGTGCCACATCCAAATCTTTCCTTCCTTTTCACCAGGTAAGAGAAATTCTGGCAACTTCTTCACAGAAATAGTGAGGGTACCTTGTCGATGAGTATAACAGTGGACATGTGCCTCTGATGGCATCTCACAAGAAACGGCATCTATACCCTAATAAACAAATAAAGAGTTCTTAGTCAGAATTCATGCAAATGAAAGTTTCCAGGAAGAAAGGCCATAGAAAAAGAGATTACATGATCAAAC